GCGCGCGGCCCGCCCCGGGCGCGGGCGGAGGAGAGAAGGAGGGGTGCGCGCAGCGTCCAGCCTGCAGAAGCCGGGAGCCGCGCAGGAGGACGGAGCGTCAGCCGCGAGCCGGACCGAACCGGTACGGGGCCCGCGGACCCGGGCAGGGGGCTGGGGTTGGGCGGGTGGGACTTGGCGCCGATGCGGCCCCGGGGATCTGGAGAGACCGGGCGGCCGGGGCCTCGCGCCACCCTCGTCCCTGGAAACTTTGTGCCGGCGCCCCCACCTGCTCCCGGCGGTTCTCGCATCGCTGGGCGGCGGGGAGAAGAGAGGCCGGGGGCCCCCCGCAGCGCCCCCTTCTCACCGCCGGGCCCCCGCCTCGCTGGCTCTCGGCGCGCACTCTCCTACTGCTCTCCCTCTGCGGCCGACACCCCGGCCCCGGCTGCCGGCCCTCCTGCTCCTTCGCGAGCATCCTCGTCTGTCCCCTCCGCTCCTCCTCCTTCCTGACCCCTCTGCTCTGCGGCCCCGCCGCGGCCTCTCTACCTCCTCACCCCGCGGTCAGCATCCACCCGCCCTGAGCCGCAGGAGCCGACGGCGGCTTTTGCATCTTCCAAAGGTTTCTGGTATATTGATGGAAGCAACTTGACTTTCAGCAATGCCAGATATTCAACTTGAGTATTTCTCTGCCGTGGTAGATTGGTGTGCACAGTGCTAACATGTCTTTTTGTTTCTCCTGAGTACCCTCGCTCCAAAGCGAAGTTGAGTTGTTTGTGTACGAGAGGACTTGCGTCCTGTGCTGACTTAAGTGGATTGTATAACTATATTTTATTTAGGTGGATGTTGCCAATGGTACCAGCCAGCGTTATGGTAACTGGGCATCCCAGAGGCAAGGGAAGGAGGAGGGACTTAGAAATGCAGTTCTGCTGTGTAGAGATTTTTTTTTAAACTATCTTGTACTTTTTATCCAGCAGGACCTCAAGGCATTTAGCGTGTAACTAGCTGTTCATTGTAGTTTTATACGAGAGGTAGGGACAGAGCGTTACCGTCCCGTTTTACAGATGTAAAAATGGAGGCAAAGAGCCAATCCTGGTTCTTTACTAACCTTAAAGGAGTATGAACCAAGAGATTTAACCCAGAGTTTCCTGGAATTTTAGTCTATAAGGCCAGTGAGAATTATCATAGAATGTTGGAACATCCTCCCTGAGGTTGTACAGATCAGTTAAAAGTCAGAGGCTGGGGCCAGCTGTCAGCAGCTTCATGCTTGGAACTCAGCTCTGTCACAAAGTTACAGCTTCTCTCTGCGTGTTTCCTGCTCTTAAAAATGAGGGGAACAAAGGTGCTGTATTCTTTGCAAAGTTGTGTGAGTGTGTCTGGAAGCTCCAGCTGCGTTTGGTGATTGTTACTTGTTGTGGACTCATACAGGCCCCCCTTCTCTGGTTCCCTTTAGGAACGCAGCGAATAAGGCACCCCCAGAATGAATAACCACCTCTTCTTTGCCAGAAACACCTGAGAATTCATGTCAGGGGACAGGCTGGGTCAGGGACCCTGACCTGGGTGAGGGTGGGGGCAAGGGTTGCAGGGTGGAGGTAGGAAGGAGCCCTGCACAGGCGGCTTGACACATGGGCCCTATTCCTGCCTCCAGCTCTGACTCATCTTCTGACGCTTGGGGGAGGAGAGGTAGTTGCTTGATATTTTTGGCTTTCCCCCATAAAACAGGAGACGGTTTCCTTCATTCCAAGTCGTTTTAACGTCAGTGTGGAACGTGTCTATGCTGAGTTCTCATCTGAAATCTTTCATATTGGTTGAATGCAGGTATGATTTCTGTAATATTCTTTAATGGAATGGCATAAATGTATATTCATCTCATAAAAATCTGACCAGCTGTATAAGTCCAGGAAATCCTTTAAAACTTTAACACAAAAACTTTAGCATTTTTAAAAGATGGTCTGTAGGGAAGGATCTGTGTTTGGTGCGTTCCTCTTCAATTGGGATTTTATTTTTAGGCAAGGTGGATTAAAGATGCTTTTTCCCAATATCACAAGAAATACATTAATCATTCTCTGTGTAAAAAAATTAAAACTTTACAGATAAGGTTAAAGCCTTCTTTTGAGTATCTTTCCCAAAAGTAACTGCTGTGTATATCTTTATCTGTGTGTATCCTTTTAGACTCTTCTAAGCATTTTTTTAAAAAATTTTTTTGATTTATTTATTTTTTTCCCCCAAAGCCCCAGTAGATAGTTGTATGTCATAGCTGCACATCCTTCTAGTTGCTGTATGTGGGATGCGGCCTCAGCATGGCTGGAGAAGCGGTGCCTCCGTGCATGCCCAGGATCCGAACCTGGGCCGCCAGCAGCGAAGCGCGCGCGCTTAACCGCCAAGCCACGGGGCCGGCCCTCTAAGCATTTTTATAAATGTCTCTTTGCACAGTGATTTTTTAATTGAAATGAATTATAAAATTAAACTGGTCCTGTTCATAGAGATTTGATTTCTGTCTAGAACAGGTAGCAGGCATTTTAAGTACAGCTGGTTGTCAAGTTTTATTAAGCCTGATAGCAAGGTAGTATTTCTCAGGACAATGGGCAAATGACCCCTTAAACATCTTCAAAGCAGTTAAATCGTTAAGATCCTAGGCGTTACTCCCGGTTGCAAATGAAAACTTTCCCGTTAAAAAAGAATAATCTAGGACTACTAGTGTATTCATCTTTTCTTTGCTTATAAGGAGGCATAAAAGGGAGTGGAAGGCAGGAAGAGTTGCTAAAGCAACAGTGCCTGGGTATAAACTTACAGAGTGAACATTGAAGGTGGTAGCTTTAGTTATTTATGAAAGCTTCACTTTGATGAAGACAAAGAAAGGGAACTGTTAATGTGGGGACAGTTCAAATCAGTAATTTCAGGAGATGGGTGAGTTAAAACAAAATTCACATCAAGACTTGATGGGTTTTTTGTTACACTTTTATTGAGGACTTTTGCCATGCTAAAGGTAGTGTGCTGAATACTGGGGTAGAAGGCAGACAAGGTTGCTGACCTCATGAAGCTACAAGGCTTCACGACATTCAGAGAGGAAGTGTTCTTTCCCCAGATTGGCCAGAACTGTAATGGTTCTGAATTCCTGCAAATCAACATTGTATTTATTTAACCTTTTTTATTGTGAATTATACCACACAGAAAAGGATATACAATGCAAGTGGATAACTTAATGAATTATTTTAATTTTTTTAATTTTTTTTTTTTTCCCCCCCTAAAGCCCCAGGCGATAGTTGTATGTCATAGTTGCACATTCTTCTAGTTGCTGTATGTGGGACGCGGCCTCAGCATGGCCGGAGAAGCAGTGCGTCTGTGCGCGCCCGGGATCCGAACCCGGGCCGCCTGTATCGGAGCGCACGCACTTAACCGCTAAGCCACGGGGCCGGCCCTTAATGAATTATTTTAAAGGAGACACAACTGTAACCATCTGGCGGGTCAAGAAACACCCGCCTCCGGCTCTTTCCCAATGACAACCTCTCCTCTCACCCGAGGTCACCTAGCTAGTAACCAGCCTCATTTTTGTGAAAATCACTTCCTTTCTTTTCTATGGTTTTTATCCCATAAATATAAATTTCTAAACAACATAGTTGCATTTTGCCTGTTTTTCACCTTTATGCAAATGAATCAAAGTAGGTATTCTTTTAAATTCTTTTTTGAGGGGTCGACATCATATATATGTATATATACACACATATATGTAATTTTTTGGTTAAATTCTTGCAGCATTATTTGTTTTAAAGATTCATCCGTGTTGTTACCTTTGATGGTAATTAGTTCATTTTTGTATGAATACCACAGGTTATTTGTGTGTCATCCACTGTTGATGGACATGTGGGTTGTTTCTGATCTGGGTAGTTATGAACAGTGCTGGGTCATAGGTGTGCGCTGGGTCATAGGTGTGCGTTGGGTCATAGGTGTGCGTGTCTTGAGCTTTACTAGCTGATGCCTATTTTCCAAGGTGGTTGTACCAATTTACGTTCCTTCAGTGGTGTCAGCCTTGAATTTATAATCCATCCTATTTGCTGTTTAACCACAATATGCTTGGATATTTCTTGAATGAATGAGTAAATGTCACCTAGGTGGTCTGATCCTTGGTCCTTCATGTACCAGTGTATTTATATATACATATGTTTAATTGTATGGTTTGCACTAACATACTGCTCAAAGGCCTGAGATGGTTCTTCCACTCTATTTGGTTGACAAATACCCAGCGGAATCCTTCCATCGTCTTTTTTTTTCCTAAACAGATGTGTAGTTATAGGGAAATTTAAATATGCAAAATGAAGTATTAAAAATAAAAGTGTCTAGTACCTAGAAGTCTTTTAAAGGTTTTGGGTGAATCCTACCTCCTGGGCCACCAGATACCGTGACTTGGTGACTTGTGTTGTGCTGGTGAATGCTTGCCTTGTGCCCAGCCCTGAATGTGCAGGCCCACAGTGCTGGCTTCGGTGTGTGACGTGTGCTGGAACCCAGGCCAGTCCTTGTTAAAATGCCCTCTGAGGACAGCTACTCACATGCTTGTGTGCATGTGCAGATCCCCTAGGAGGCACTGAGCACAGACTGGGGCTCTCCTTCTTCTCTGGCAATTCCAAAGGGACTGCAGATTCTTTGCTACAGGAATAAATGACTCTTTTACAGTCTTTAAAAAGTGCTTTTCTCCAAATCTTCCTTGGTATGTGGCAGTAGAGGTAGTTTAGAACTGGGTTTGGTATAGAGAATTCCTGCTTCCTGAGTAGACAGTTGCCAGATTAACTTGAATTGCCTGTGTTTGATGTTGCTAGCTGGGTTTAAAGCTAGGGGAGTGTGTGTGTGAGAGAGAGAGAGAGAGAAAAAAAGAGAGAGAGAGAGAGGATAGGGAGAGATGGGGAAGTCACATCAGGACAGTTATTAAATTATTAAATTCAGGTATTTATTGAGTATCTACTGTGTGCCTAGTATTATCTGCCAACAGCCTGTGTCTGTCCTTAGAGCAGAATGTTCTACAATTCTGTAGGTTTAGAAAATGTCCTCAGGGAGATCCTTTTTATTAGCTGGGGGGGTGATGGAAGAACAGTATAGCCCAAAGAATGAGAGATTTGTAGTTCTTTTTTATTTCTTCTATAAAGCATCTTGGCAAAT